TCTTTTGAGATCACTATGAAAGCAAAGTTATATTATAATAGAAGAATTTTTTTATATAACTTATATACTTTATATACTGATTTGTATTAAATTATTTTAAGTTCGAGGAAACCAGAGAAGGTACTGGGGAATGAAATTGACCAAATTATACTGTTATATTGTGTGCAAATACCAATATGTAACAAAGAAACCCATTGTTAGGTATAATTATAATGCACCAATAACAAGGAAAAACTATCTTCTACAGAGTCAAGTGGAACTAAAAATATGAGATAATCATGTTATAAAGTAGAACTTTTCTTTTCACCTTAATGTATGTAACAAATTTAACACAAAATGAGAAAACGACATAAGTGTGCTTGAAATATATTTCATGTATTTTTAGAACACTGTACCAGAAAATGTTATAAAAAATGAAAAATTGCTTAAAACCAGTCTCTTGTGTTTCAGTGAATATCCTTTAGCATATATATATACACACATATATCCATATACATATATACATATGTAAATTGACAACATTTTTATTATGCCAAGTTTACATAAAACATGCATGTCTAATAAAAAGTTTAAGCAAACCATCTAGAAAATTTTATTCGATTTCAAACTGTGTTCTCAACATCCAGGAAGAAACCTTTGTTGAGGTAATATATTTGAGAACAAAAATTTGAGGTTAAATCCTAGTATGGAATTTACTTGTTGTAGATTTATATATCTAGTCAGCTTTTAGCTTTTGAACTTTATGCAAAAACAAAAAGATTAAAGGGAAAGGATTGAGTTTGCACAAAGTTACAAAAATTATATATAGTTCACCAACAGATAACTTAAGCAAAACTTTTTAATGATATTTTTTATATATACTTTCAATTCTTCTCCCCAGGGAAAGGGGCACAGTCATGAGTCCTTAAAGGAACTATGGCTAATCGTTCCTTCCTGTTGCTTTCTGGGTTCTTTTTTGTTTTTTTTTTCATTGTATGATTTTGAATCATCCGATTATTTTTTTTTTTTTAATTTTTATTTTTAAATGTCAGGCTCTTGGCTGAGCCAAATGTGGATTCTTGGAAATGTATGCTTCATTCTTTCATCAACCAGCCTTACCTTCATATGATTGCTCTTTTAACTCACTGAAAATACATAGTGTACTACATACTTATCTTTTTTGCACTAATTCTCCCCACCATTCTCTGTGTTGGTGTAAGGCTACACTGTAGAAAAATGTTAAGTTAACTTACAAAAAGTGACTAATAGCTAACAATCAAAACATCTTCTTAGTAAAAATTCCCATCCATAATGTTAGCAAACTTTGTGTACAAAGTGGGGATCCAATGACCTTCATGTCTGTGACTGTCTTACAGTGATTGTTTTTCTTGCAAATTCTTCTCAATTTTAGTCTCTGAAATTTTCTCAAAGGCATAGAGTCCTTATTGATGGGGAGTTAATAAACATTGCTGTTCTTGATTTCATATCATGTAAAGTGGGAAGCCCAGGTCTCTTATATTAGTCCCTAATATCTACTCTCAACTCTTCTGTACTTTGCTTTCTGCCAGACAGGCTGACTCATGTGGACCACATCATGGGCACCCACACCCTTTCATTTCCTGTTGTTTGGCCAGTTTCCCAGTGGGGAGCCATTACAGTAGATGAGGAGAGGTGAAGTCCTGAAGCCTTACTGGCTGAGTCCTTCCTGTGTTGATTTTTGGAGGCAGCAGGCATGACTCTTTCTGTGGGTTCCTGTACTGTGTCCTTCCATCCTAAAGGCTTGAGTATTAGGCTATTGCTAACTCTTGGATGTGTGTCTTCTACAATCTACATATTTGTAGATAGTCTTTTTTGTAAATAAACCCTCATAGTTCCATTTTGAACTATGCCATCTGTTTCCTCTTGGGAAAGTAAGTAATTGAATGGATATCTCTGTTTGAATTTGCTCTCCATGTACTTTATCTTTTTTTGTTGCTGTTGCTGGCACTTTATTTGCTGCACATGATGAATACTATGCATGTCCACTCTGTATTTTTTCTATTTGATATTATGTATCTCTGAATTGCCTTTAAGTTCTCTGCTAAATGAGTGCTGCACTTTTCAGATTAGTAGTTTTCTTATCTTTTTAAATAATTAGTCACTTACAAAAAAGTAACAAATATAGGTTGAAGAGTTTTTTGATTGAGAAACATTTGAAAAGTTGCAGATAAGAATATTGGTAACTCCAAAAGTTGGGCATGGTAGCTCACACCTGTAATCCCAGTGACCCAGGAGGCTGAGGTAGAAGGATTGCAAGTTCAACACCAGCCTCTGCAATTTAGCAAGACCCTATCTCAGAGTAAAAATATAAGTGGATTGGGGATGTAGCTCAGTGGTAGAGTGTCCCAGGGTTCAATCCTTAGTACTAAATAAACAAACAAATAAATAATAAAATAAAAAAATCCTCACAATTCCAAATACTTAAGTGGATATTTTCTACAGATATGAACAGTTTTCTGCATAACCACATAACACCTTCAAAATTAGGAAATTAACAGTGATAAATTACTATTACCTAAATTGCAGACATTATAAAGGTTTTTGTCAATTGCCCCACTAATAGCCCTTATAAAAGAACTTAATTCAAGATCACATGTTGCAATTAGCTGTCATATCTCTGTTGTCTCCTTAAATCAGGAATGGTCCTCATTCTTTTAAAAACATTTTGTGATTTTTACAATTTTGTCAATTAACTTATAAAATGTCCCTAAATCAAGTTTATCAAATGTTTCCTTATGATTAGATTCAAGTTGTGCTTCTTCCAGGACTAGAATATTAGCATCTGATTTGTTTTCTTCTTTTTGCTCCAATTAGGTGGTATGCTTTCAATTTACCCCATTACTGGTGATATTGACTTAATATTTTGCTTTGGTAGTATGTGCTGAATTTCTCCACTGTACAGTTTCTTCTTCATTGCAATTAACCATTTTGTAGATAGGTGAGACTATATGACTACTTCATTCCTTATCAAAATTGTGCTTACTAAGATGAGCAACCATTATGTTTCTTGGCTAAATTAATTATTTTCATGGTGGTTGCCAAATGGTTACTTTTTTAAAAAAAATTTTGTAGTTGGACAGCATGCCTTTATTTTATTGGTTTATTTTTATATGGTGCCGAGGATCAAACCCAGTGCGTCACAAGTGCAAGGCAAGCGCTCTACCACTGAGCTACAGTCCCAGCCTCAAATAGTTACTTTTAATTTTATCATGTCTTCTGCATTTTATTAGTTAGCATTGTATAGTAGGGAATTATTCCCTTCAATTCATTTTTTTCACCTGTTTATTATTCCCATCAGTATGAACTAATTAATTTTTGTTTTCTTCCATATTTGCCTTTGAGAGCCTTTTCAAGCTGGCTTCTATAATTATTTGACCATTTCTTTGATATATTGAATAAAATATTCAAGTTCATCTTTAATTTTCCCTGCTTTATACCTCAAGTAAGCCCTCTGAGAAGCCCTGATTTCTTTTAGTAAAATTTGTATTTAGAAGCCATGATCTGGGCACTGGTATGCTCAGTGGTTTTGATTTTTTTTTTTTTTTTTTGCACCAAGACCGACAATGACTAGAGCTAGAAAATGTATATGTTTATGTTTTCTATGCATACATATATTCAGAAATATATTAGTTACCTGTTGGTGCACACGTTAGTTACTTATTGCTATATAACAAACTATTCTGAAACTTAGTGGCTTACATGGGTATTATTTACTTCTCAGTTTTGCCCAGAATTCACAAGTGGATTAGTTGTGACCTTCACAAGGTGGCCATCAAGATGTCAGAAGGACTGTGGTTTTTCCCAAGTCTTGACTGGGGCTGGCTGGAGGATTCACTTTCATGGTGACTCACATGTCTAGCAAGTTAGAACTGTTTGTTGGCAGGAGGCTTAATTTCCTCATGTTAATGACTTCTGCATTGGCTTGAGTATCCTTATAATGTGGTGACTGATTTGTCCGGGAGTGAGTGACAGCAAAGAGGAAGCCAGATAATCTTTTCTTTCTTGGGCTCAAAAATCTCATTTCATCATTTCCATAACATCCTACTGGTTACAATCAACACTATTCATATGGGAGAAGACTCCACAGAGGTGTGAGTGGCAGGAGGCAAGAAAAATTGGGGACCATTTTAGAGGCTGACCACCATGATAACTGTAGTATTACTCTATCTCTATTCTTACATCTATCTATTAAAACTATGGATGCATACCTCTTCAAATCCAATCTAATGCCACAAGATTCAGTCTAGTTTTTGCCCTTCCCATGACAGTGAGAAAGCTTAATATCATTTTTCTCACGTATTACACGAGTCTCCTCGTGTAATGGTTAATTTGAATTGTCAACTTGATTGGATTAAGAGATGCTGATGATTAAGAGGCTTCTGGGTGTGTCATGAGGATGTGTCTAGGAATGATTGGCATGTGGGATAACAAACAAACTGGAGACCCTCCCTAAGCGTGGGCAGCACTATCCAGTAGGACGGTAGCTTAGATGGAATAAAAGTTGGAAGTACAAGGAAGCAGCAGTAGATGCAAGCTCAGTTTTTCTTGAATGGGCTCTTGATTGCTGCTGTGACCCTCTGAGGGTATCAGACACTCGCTTTTTCACTCTTCCAAAGCGGACACTGCGAGTGTCTCCAGGGAGAATACCTCTTAGACTTCAGTCTCAGACTAGGGTAGCACCCATCATCCCTCTTATTCCGAGGCTTCAGTGTGTTGGACTGTGTAGCAACTGGTTCCTCCAGCTCTCCATCCTGCAGATGGCCATTGTGGACTATGCTTTTGGTGGAGTAAGCCAATCTAATAAAACCCCTTTTTATAATCATACTTGCTCTTGATTCTGTTCTTCTAGAGAACCCTGACTAATACACCTGGCCTGTGCCCGGCTACCACCAGCCCCTGTGCAAATGCTCCCTTCACCTCATGTGGACTCTTATCTTAGCCAGGCAGGCCACTGTGGCTTCTGCTTCCCCACCCTGCAAGGAGTAGCAGCTCACAATGGTCTAAGGACTGAGTTGTGCAGGAGAAAGGCAAGGAAGGTAAGACCATTTGTTGTTGTTGTTGTTGTTGTGAATTGTAACGTGGAAATAGGAAGAATTTATAATACTTAGATTTGGACTTGAGAAAACTATCTCCATATGGAGTCTAAACAGACAAAGCCTCCTCACATCTATGCTGAGATCTGCGATGTTCAGGTTTTCCCTTTATGTTGCTCAGGCACTTATTCTCTCTCTGAACATTTGCTTGTCTGACCTGTCAAGGATACTTTTATGAAGGCCCTACCTAAGTATTTTACCTTCTTTCCTTCATTTTCCTCCCCCTCCTTCCTTTCTTTTTCATCCCTGTTCTTTCCTCTTCCTGTCCCAGAGCCTCTATCTTCTCCCATCACCCCTGCTTCTGTTTATCCACATAAATAGCTTCAAGCTTGGCACTAATATCTATTGGCACATTCAAAAACATTGCTTATTCTCACAGGAAACCCTCGGGGGGTCAGATGTGTAGTGCTAGAAAAGCAGCCTTCACTGATACTTCATTAAAAAGAAATTGAATATATTAGAGTGATCTTTCTACGTTTTAACTCTCTGCTTTCTATAAGAATGCTTCCTTTGAGAATATGGCAGTAGACTTTTCAAAGTTACCATTTTTCTTATGTCTCTGCTAAAGATCTTACTAATGATGTGAGGACTTCAATTTCAGAATCAAAAATATAAAGAAGCAGGGCAGGATTTTTAATACACAATTAATGATCTTCCTAACAATATGTCTTCTCTAAATTACATGCAAATGAATCACACCAAGCATCATTCCTGCTCTGATCATTTTATATCCCCAGAAATTAGGGTGATTTGCCAGATGAGACATTCCCTGAGAATCATGAGACAAAGTTTTAATTTATTTCTTTAGTTTTGTTTTTTGGCAAGATTTGAATGTGGAGATTAGTCTTGGCTAAATTACTCACAGAATTACATGAGATTTAAGAAATTTGGATATGAATTTTTTCTTTATTCATGGAAGTGTCAGTTTGTTATGCCCTAACTATGGAATGATATATGGTAGGGTTAGTAACACGCACATGCCAGATCGAGGGTAGTGTCACCTCTGAGCTTGACAATTCTGGCCCCTCACTTGGGAGTAAGATGTGAGGCACGTCAGAGGAAGAACTACCCTCAGATTGTGCACATGAAGAATGCATGCTTGAGTAGGTAGCTCAGGAAATGTGACCAGACTATTATTTTTTAAATATACTTCATAGTCTCTTACACATGACTACAATGTCATATCAGTTTTGTCCTGTGAAAGATTTCACTACAGTTTACAAAATTGCGTACAGTTCTTAAAGGAAGTCCAATGCCAAATTTTATCTAAAGTAACTCTTTGAAAAATAATTCCAGAAAACCAGGAAAAGGATGCAGTAAAAATACACGTAAAAGAAAATAACATTTTGGGCTGGGGTAGAGCGCTTGCCTACCATGCGTGGGGTACCAGGTTCGATCCTCAGCACCACATAAAAATAAAATAAAGGTATTGTGTCCACCTATAACTAAAAAATAATTTTTTAAAAAAGAAAATAAACATTTTAAAATGTGATAATTGGCACTTTACAGGAGCACAGAAATATTTCTAGATGAGATAGTATGACAACACTAACTACAGTAATAGAATACAGGGAGTTTCCAAATTTCACTTCTATCTTGGGTTTTTGTCTAACTGCACAAAGATTTTGTAAAATGAAACTAAAACTGACTTTTTGTCACTCTTCTTTGTGATTTTTTCTTGGAGATAACCAAAGAGCAACATTTCTTCAATATGAATTTTGACATTAAAATTCTTTTCTTTAATCATCCTAACTTTAGTTCCTCTAGATGTGTTTAATGCGTTTAGTTAAGTAGAAAGAAGTACATTAATGTAAAGAAAATATAAAAGGACAGAAGGAGCTATGATCTTACTCTGGGGAAGGAAAGATTGGAAAGGAATACAAATACCAGAGGGTTTTCTCTAGGAATCATCAAATACAAAAAATAAATTCAAACTTCATTTTATTAATTTTCAAATTGGACAGTAATTCTCTTTTTCTTGGGTATTTGTTCATTCTTTTGTCTTCATAAGAGAACTGAAAGGAACAAGATTGATGGAGTTTCCAAATAAGATTTGCAAATGGTTAAGGAAACCAAGAGGTAAAAAAACAATATATGTTAAAAATATTGTGTTTATGAAAGGAATTGTGTCAGCTTTGTGTATCTGTGACCAAAACACTAGACAAGAACAAGTTAGAGGAGGGAAAGTTTATTTTGGCTCACAGTTTCAGGAGTTCAGTGCATGATGGGCCAAGTCCATTGCTCTGGGCTTAAGGTGAAGCAGAACATCAGGATGGAAGGCATGATGGAGGAGTGCTGATGCATGGTGGTCAGGAAGCAGGGGAAAGAAGAGGGAGGAAGATGGACCCTTCCAGGGCATGCCCTCGGTGACTCACCTCCTCCAGCCAGATCACTACCAACAGTGACCCTGAAGTCCACTCAAACTGTGATGGACTGATTAGGTTACAGCTATCACAGTCCAACCATATCAATCATTTCACCTCTGAACATTCCTGCATTAACATAGGAGCTTTGGGGGAGGGGACATTTCATATCCAAACCATAACAGCAATCTTTCCTTCATAGGAAAGAAAAATTTTATTGTTTAACAGAGGGAAAATTCTGTAAGAACAAAATCATTAGTTTCTTAGCCTCATAATTCAAATTTCTCATTGTTTTTTAAAATATGGAAACAAACATTTTTTTCTGTTTCCCAATTCAGTTTTTTTTTTTGTGTGTGTGTGTGGCACAAAAATATTATTTCTCATTAACATAGAGACATTCTGTCTTGGTCTCTCTAGCAACAGTTATTCCTTCTTCTCAGAACAGTACTTTTGTAGTCCTTAAGCTACCATCTTTCACTGTCAATTTATGTGGGTATCAGTGAGGCCAGCTCTCCCTCTCCTCAGCTGGGGTCCCTGAGTCTGGCCAGTCAGTACATTCTATCCCCTGATGGCAGTGATTGGTTCAGGATTCATCATGTGGACCCAATTCAGGTCCATGAGAATCAATTTGGGGAGGTATTTGGACATATTGGTAATAAGAAACTTTTTTCTGGGATTTTTAGCTGTAGGATAATGAGGGAGGTCTGGAGGTGCTAGGAACTGCCTACTGAGGCAGAATCAACCTGATAATAGAGGCAACAGAGAAGAAAGTGCCATTGAGGGGGGGAAAAGACTGAATACAGAGGCCATTTTTTGAGTTCTTTCACAGAATTATAACTAATTTTTTTTTTTAATGATTAGCTTGGCTTTTTAACGTCACATTTCTGATTTAAAATTAGTAGAGGGTAAATATGTGCTCTATGAAAGTCAAAAGTGATTGTAAAGCCACAGTCAATTCATAGTGAATTTTAAACAATTTTTTTAGCCTTCATCAGTGTATGAAGATTTTTAAAATTTATTAACTAAAATTTTTGTACTTATTATGTACCAGCCACTTTTTTAACCGTGTTACCAATAGCAACTCAATCCTCATAACAATCTCATGATATAGGTATTACTGACTTCTTCTTTTTGCCATGGAGGAAGATGAGGCACAGAAAGGCTATGTAACTTGCCCCTAACAGGTAGAGGGTAAGGAGGACACTTAGGAATTGGACTCTGTCAGCCTAATGTCTGATTTTTTTTAACCACTACTCTTCACTGCCTTTTTAGCACACTGTCTTAGCCTGTTCAAACTCAGAAACAGAAACAAAAACAAAAAATGTATGTCCATGCATTTTATGACAAGAAGTTAGTAAGGTGGGTAGGGTCATACAGCTTATTAGTTTGAAAACAAGTAACTCTGAGAGTCAATATGGTATCATGAATCAAGGTGTAGCTCTACATTCAGGCAGCATGAATCCAAATCCCAGCTACACTAACTACCAGATAATTTAAGGGTAAATAAATTACCTTTGTCTCTAGTTCCTCATATATAAATGGAGCTAATAGTAATACCTACTGTTTCATTCCATTTGTGCTTCTGTAGCAGAATAGCACGGACTGAGTAACTTACAAGAATGGAAATATATTTCTTAGTTCTGGAGGCTGAAAAATCCAGGGTTAAAACACAGCATCTAATGAGGGCCTTCTTAATGTGTTCTCACATGATGGAAGGCAGAAGGGCAAGAGAAGGATGAACTCCTTGAAACCCTTCTACAAGGGTGTCCAGTCCCATCACAAGGGAGGAAACTCGATGACCTAATCAACTCTTAAAGTCCACCTCCTAATGCTATCACATTGGCAACACCTGAATTTTGGAAGGGCCACATCTAAGAATTTGCCTCTTCAGGTTATTTTGAGGATTTCAAGTGGCAATACATGTATGGCATTTAGCAGAGTACATTAATTAATATTTTTTATAAACTTCATCCTTCTTGCTTTCCCATTCTCATCATGATGTTTTTTTCCTCTTAACCATTATATTCCTCCTCTCAATACATTTGACAATTCCACTCTCATAAAACCAGCATTTTTTATTATCTTCTCAAAAGTCCATTCTTTTTAATAAAGTCCAGTCTTTTCATCATCTCTAATCTTATCCTAATTAGTTCTCCTAGTTCGAACAGGAATTTCTTTCATAACCATGAGAAAATGGGTGGAATGCACAAAAAGTGAAGTCCCTGACCCTATATTTTGCTTCGGTCTTTAGAGAACCAACCTCCTGTAGAGATTGAGAGATATTGGTGTCATTTGTTTGTTGAGCATTTTAAAGCATTTTCTTTGGAGAAAGACTATCAGCTACTTAGGGAGCTGCTACAATGTACCTATTAGCTCAGTTTTCAAGGCCAAAAGTCAACCACTAGGTAAATTATGACATCTTACTACTCTGAATGATCAATATCAAGATATTTAAAATATATAATATAATAATCTTAGGGACAAGAATTATAGATTGTGGTAGCTTTTTTGCCCGGTTTTTGAGTTTTAGCAGACATAACTAACTGCTTTGGAATATTTCCCCAAACCCAGTTCAGTGGT